ACAGATCACCGCAGTTCGGTGCAGGGAGACTACGGCCTCCAGAACACCCCCCCCCCGCCCCGCGTCCCCTGGGGCCTCACTTCCCAGCCCGGGCACCTGCGGGTTCTGTGTCAGCTGGAGTCTGTCCTCTGCACGTGCCACAGCCTGGGTGGGGAGTGTTCTGGAGGCCGTAGTCTCCCTGCACCGAACTGCGGTGATCTGTAGCTCCTTCCTAAAGGACCTTGCACATCTGAAATGCTGACTGGCTCCGGAAGGCTCCCCTTCGAGCATTCCAGCCCCTTCCCTGCTTGTAGCAGTGAACTGACCTGCTCCGAGCTTGGAGCTTAGGCCCACACTGGAGATCCAGTTGCTATAGTAACAGTCTTGCCTTAGTTGGCAGAAGTTGCTGCAGGGCAGATGGTGTCCTGGGGCTTGCCTTGTTTTTGTTCTTAAATCTATATTATTCTAAGCTGATCTCATTAGCATGCAGGGCTGGTGACCCTCCATAAGTGAGAGGGTCACCTTGGAGCACAGAGCGGGGAGGGAAGGCAGCTTCCTCTGCACAGAGCCCCGAGGCAAGCCGCTGCCCCTCTCCAGCCCTGGCTGGCTTATCTCCCCGCTCCACAGACCCCGCAGTACCCAGGGCGGCCTGTTCGCTTCCCGCACCCTCCTTCCCTGCAACTCTGAGTGACTTATCTGTCTCCTTCTGACACTGCATGGGGACGCATGGTGGTGGTTCTGTGGGCGTCCTCTCCCCGATGCCTTGGTTTTCATGGCCTCTTCTGCTTCGTGCCAAGCCGTAGACAGGTTGTTTTGAAGGCCCAGCATTCAGGTGCGGTGAAGTGGATATGATACCTTTACTTTTCCCCCACCAAAAAAAAAAAGAAAAAAAGAAAAAGAAAAAATAGCACGGGCTGCTCCTGAGGAAGGAAGTAGATTAAAATGTATTCTGCATTCACTGTATGCTGAAGCCTTTACATCTGTTACTTCAGCCAAGCCTGAGAACAGCACTGGGGGTAGGCACTGTAATCCCCGTTCTACCAGGAAGAAAACAGCCTCATCGGGAGACCTGATGGGAGTGGAGGCTCTGGAATTTTTGTTTGTTCCTCGTCTCGCCGCCCCCGCCTGTCTGTTCCCCCACTGATCTGACCCTCAAGGGGTCTGACTTGGTTTATCATGAGCAGGTCCTCCATATCAGGACAGCGGCCTCTGTGGGCTTTCATGCAAAGGAGAAACAGATGGGTGGGCCCCAGGAAAGAGAGGCAGCTTAATGAAGAAGAAAAACTCGTCTTTTCTAAAAAGGGTCAGGAATAACTTTGATCGGCTTGCCGTTTTGAGAGCAGGTTTTGTTGACCAAGCCCAGAGGTTGCCTGTTTTATAATTGGGAGAGATGTTTTATTGCCTTTTTGTCCTGGGCCTGCATCCAAAACACTTGACCTGATTTCCCTCCAGACCCTCTGTTGCTGTCTAGAAAAGCCAGTCCCCTGAAGAATGGTAAACTACAGTTCAGATGTGGCAGTGAGGACACCCCCTCCCCCGCCCTCTTTGAAAGGGCTCCTTGGTCACGTTACACACCACCAGGTCATCTTCGTGCCATTTGCCAACTCGTCTTTTAGCAGATGATCTGCCACCTCTTCGTGTTTGCCTCGGCCGGCCGGGGGTGGGGAGCAGGTGGAAAGGGGTGGGGGGGGGGAGCCGCTAAGAGAGGTGGGGAATGGTTCAGAGAAAACGGAGTACGCTCACACCAGGGGGCAGCATAGAGCCACCAATAGTTTCCTTCTCAAAACCCAAGATAATCTCACCGACCTTCAAGTACAGTGATCAGATCAGTTATTCATCGCTACAGTAGGACTTTGAGCTGTCTGTGCACGGTAGATGAGGCTTGAGGTTAGTGCCACGGTGTTAGCACAAAATACCTCATGAAAATGCACCTGTCCCCCGTGAAACTCGTGCTTTGGGTGAGTGCATGTTATTGCATCATTTCTTCAGCACATTTTGGCACACGCTGACATTCAGGCCCCTTGCTTTACCGTGGATTAGAAGCTGGAGGGTCCAGGAATCAGCCCAGCTTCATATATCCTGGGGCCGTCATGGGGATCACGTGTGTGTTAGCATATATCAGGGCTTGGCAAACTTGGAATGTAAAGCAAGACCTAGCACATATTTTCAGCTTTGTACAATTATTCGGCTTTGCTCTTGTAAGACAATAACAATCACAGACAACATGTAAATAAACGTAGTGGCTGTGTTCCAATAATACGTTACTCATGGATACGGAAATTGGAACTTCGTGTGATATTCATATGTCACAATATTATTCTTTTGATTTTTTTTTTCCTAACCATATAAATTTGTAAAAACCATGCTTAGCTCTCAGGCTCTATGAAAACAGGCAGTTGGCTGGATTTGGCACCCGGGCCGTGGTTTGCTGACCCCTCATATAGATGACAGCATTGGTTCCCAGTAAAAACTCGTCTGCATATCATTTGACACAACATCGTGTGAATGTGTGTTTTTGCTTAAGTGATTTTACCTTGACTACAAGTTGGGCAGAAAATTCCAGAAGCAGAGTTCAGTACCCACAGGAAAAACTCGGGTTTTAGCACACCTCACTTTCTGTCCCCATTATCCCCTCCTTTGGGCACCAGCTCAGGATGGAAGGGATGACGGTTACGAGGTTCCTGAGGTCCAGAAACTTCCAGCGAGGCTGTAGTCTGATTTCCTGGCAACAGGTTGTGCGGGTGTGCGCCCATCTATTCAGATAGGCTCGTTAGCATCGGTGAAGGGCTGTGTCTGTTATGCTATAGCGATGATCGGACCAGGAGATCCCTGAGCATGGGTCCTTTGACTTTTTTACCACGCACCTCAGTTTAAACGCAATAGCCCATAAGTGGGATGTGCTTGCATTGGATCTGCCCCTTTATCTGCTCACTGTGTTGATGTTTATCGCGTACCTACTAGGGGCCTGGCACTGTGCTAGGCGCTGCGGATATAAAGGTTGAACCCTTGTGTGCAGATGTATTGCCTTTGAAAATCACTTCTTTTTTTTTTTTTTAATTTTTTTTTTTTTTTAACATTCATTTTTGAGAGAGCACAAGCGGGGGAGGGGCAGAGAGAGACGGAGACATGGAATCTGAAGCAGGCTCCAGGCTCCCAGCTATCAGCACAGAGCCTGATGCGGGGCTCGAACTCACAAACCACGAGATCGTGACCTGAGCTGAAGTCAGACGCTCAACCAACTGAGCCACCCAGGTGCCCCGCAAATCACTTCTAAGACACTCAGAGAGAAGAACTAACATGAGCCCAGTACACTTCCAACTCTGTACTTTTCACGTGTGCTTATTTTTCTACACGGCTGTTGAGTAACAGTCCACAGACGAGTGGTGGTTAAAAGTGCCCGTTAAAAAGATCCCTCTTCTTTGACGATAACTTTCGCTTTCTTGACTCTGTAAAAATGCCTTTCCCCCAGGGTAGCACTTTCAGAGCTTACAGTGGACTTTTATATGTGTTATTTTCACTTACTGCACTCAACAGCCCTGTCGTCGTCCCATTTTGCAGATGGAAAAAAAAAGTGAGACACAGAAAATTCAGTTAACTTGCCCCTGATCATCTGGCCAGGATGAGCCACCTGCTTCCCCGGGGCGGCGGTGGCCTTCTCGTGGCCAAAGCAGCCTCAGGACCGGGGCGGGAGGGGGCCCTGCTTCAGACCGAGTCCCTCAGGCTGCGACCGATGTATTTGGTCAAGTCCAAAGCGGAACTCAAAGACTACCAGACAGCCATTGGAGAATGATATTTGACGTTGCAAGAGAATAGTTTTAAGGACGGAGAGCATAGTTCATGCTGTATCATTAAGCTATAAAACTCATATCAATCGTTATTTATGGTTTGATCCCATTTTTATTCTATAAAGAAAGAATCCTACGGGGCGCCTGGGTGGCTCAGTTGGTTAAGAGTCCGACTTCGGCTCAGGTCATGATCTCACGGTCCGTGGGTTCGAGCCCCACGTCGGGCTCTGTGCTGACAGCTCAGAGCCTGGAGCCTGCTTTGGATTCTGTGTCTCCCTCTCTCTCTGTCCCTCCCCTGTTCATGCTCTGCCTCTCTCTGTCTCAAAAATAAATAAACGTTAAAAATAAAAAAAAAAAAAAAAAGAAAAAAAGAATCCTACAAAATGGTGTAGTTCTGTGTTCTCAGCTGTACCTGCACGTGACTCGTCCTGGGAGGTTGTTTTAAAATACAGGTGGTTGGGGCGCCTGGGTGGCGCAGTCGGTTGAGCCTCCGACTTCAGCCAGGTCACGATCTTGCGGTCCGTGAGTTCGAGCCCCGCGTCAGGCTCTGGGCTGATGGCTCAGAGCCTGGAGCCTGTTTCCGATTCTGTGTCTCCCTCTCTCTCTGCCCCTCCCCCGTTCATGCTCTGTCTCTCTCTGTCCCAAAAATAAATAAACGTTGAAAAAAAAAATTAAAAAAAAAAAATACAGGTGGTTGGGCCTCCCCTCCCAGACAGCTTTCCTCAACCAGATTCCTCCTCTGAACCACAGAGCACAGAAGTCCATCTGACCCCTGTTTGGGGGTGTGGTTGGTACTATTCTAGATGCCCCAGAGAGAGGCAAACTCACTGCAGACGATCGCGGGGGGGGGGGGGGGCGCGCCTCCCCCCCCCGGCCCCGGGCGCGAACCCCGGGGGGGGGCACCGGCCACCCGTGCTATGAAAATGTGTGCCTGGGCGGGAAAGTCACGGTCAGAAGATGTACCAAGATGCCGGCAGTGGCGACGACTATGTGGTCAGGTTATGGACCGTTTTTCTCTGCTTCCTTTTCAGCTTTTCCGTTCACCTGTCTTCTGATTTTTCTGCCATTTTAGGAAAACATCAAAACATAAGGGCAAGAGTTAGTACTTCCCTAAAAATGGGTAAAAACACCGGTCAGAGTCCTTTCTTTTTAAGTTTACTTATTTATTTTGAGAGACAGTGTGTGTGCACACACGTGTACCAGCGGGGGAGGATCAGAGAGAGAGGGAGAGAGGGAATCCCAAGCAGGTTCCGCACTCTCCACGTGGCGCCTGACTCAGGGCTTGAACTCCCGAACCATGAGATCACGACCTGAGCCGAAACTGAGCGTCGCGTGCTTAGCCGACTGAGCCGCCCAGGCGTCGCCCCAAGGGTCGTTTTTGCTCAATCGGATGGCCACGGGGATATTCCTAAGTCTCCGCTGCCCGTCCGCAGTACCACAGCAGCCTGGCGTCCCTGAACGGGCTGGAGGTCCACCTGAAGGAGACGCTGCCCAAAGACGCCGCTGCCTTCCCCAGCAGGACGTACAACTTCACGCATTATGACCGCATCCAGAATGTGCTGACCAGTAAGGAGAGGCTTGCGGGGCCAGGGTGTCTCCTCCCGGCTCCGCGCGAGCCCGCCGCCCCGCCGCGGTGGGTTCATACTCGGGGCCGGCGCCCCGTTGTTGGTGCTCCGCCCGGAGTTGTGGACCGCGGTTAAGAGGCTGCTTTCTCGCTTGGAGCCAGCTCCCACTGAGTTTAGAATCCGCTTGGCAAACACTCCCTTACTCATTTGTCTTTTTTTGGTTGTTTCTCCAACATTTGGAGAGAAGCACACACATGTTCAAATATCTGTGATAAGGTCTGCCTCAAAGCGGTGGGATCCATGGGCGGAAACCCGGCGTTGCTCATTCACAGGGATAGCGCGTGCTGCGTCGCATGGTGGCAGCCGTAGGTGGCCGACACCCTGGGCCCCTGCGCCCGTGGCCGCGAGCCACACGCTCTCCCAGCCTACAGTGCCGGGGGTGAGCCGGTCGGCCGGGGGAGTCCCCTGCCACAACCTCTGTGTCCTCTTCCACAAGCGAACCTGCCACAGGTGGCCACCACCCAGGACCGCCGCTTTCTCCGGGCCGTCGGCCTCATGCACTCGGACTTTGCCCGGCTGCCTGCGCTGTATGAGATGACCATCAGGTGAGCGTCCCCCAGGGTCCCTCTTGAAGTCCTGCACCCAGAGTGGCCTTCCCAGGGGTCCGGGCCACAGCCTTACGCATCACGAAATGAAGGACATTCCAGTGCTTCTCCTTGGGTCCGCTCCCCTGCCCGCCGTCACCTCCTGTCATGCTTTCCCACGTCCTGTATTTTCTGGGGACTTGCCTGGGGCTCGGACCTGCTTTAGACGATAAGCTGCAACAGTGAGGAAAGCTGAGGTCCCCACCGCCTTGCGGGGACAGGGGGCCTCTGTCCCTTGCCTGGAGCGATGCCTGAGTGCTGTTGCTGCCATCTGACCTGAGTCATGTGCTTACAGCAAAACAGACTGACCCGAATCTGTGAAGTAAAACGCTCGCCTCCCCTCACCCGCCACACACCCAAAAGATCCCCACAGATAATCGTTTGGTGTCTCGTACTCCAGGTTTTGTTGTTTGGGGGTTGCTTTTTTGCTTATAAAACATAGACGGTCAGTATTTTCATTATGCTAATAGCTTTTCTTCTAGAAAACAGGATCACACTAACGTGCTGTTTTTACAAGTTTCTTTTTTCACTTTATGATGTATCCTACCCATCGCCATGTTGGTAGGTATAGCTCCATAATTAGCATTGTAATTTATAGTATTTAACCAACTGAGTTCTCCTTTCTCTCCCTACATGCTTCTCTAATGAAACCGGTAGGAGAACATAAGGCAAGTTAGAGGGCAGAAGGGGAGGGCCCACTGTATGTCTGTGATTCCACCGAATCCTGGCAACGATTTGGGAAAGTGCGTTTTTTCCTCTTCATTGTATAGAGGCGGATACCGAAGCACAAAAAGGATCAGCAACTTGTCCCAGGGTCACATTCTGATTAAGGGGCAGAGCCAGGATTTGAACCCACGTCTCTCTGACTCTGAAGTGCCCACTGTGTCCCCATATTTCCAGTTCAGGGGCGGGCAGGGTGGTCGAGAGGGAGGGGCGCGGGCGCTGGACTCCCACAGACGCACACGGGGGCCTCGGCCATCATGGTGACGTGGTGCTAATGCCCTGTACCCGGGGGTCAGTATTTCAGGATATTTTCCCATAATAAATGTGCCTCCTCTGGCTTTAAGTCAGAGCTGCCCCAAGCTGGCAACCTAGAGGGACATTTACAGTCACTGGTTTGGGAACCGGTTGTGTCAGGGTGTGTGTGTGGGGGGGGGGGGGGGAGGTTGTTTAGAGAGGGATGGAAATGAGTCAAATGTCAGCTTGGGATGTATTAACCACCTTGTGGCCCTGCAGTATTTTGGAGCCAAGTGGGGTTTTGTGTTGGCATCCGTGGCTTATTTTAATAGTAACAGAAACAGCGGCCACCATTTCTTAACCACTCACCATGTACTAAGCAGTTTCTGTGTGTTTTCCTCATTTAGTCTCAAGAAAAGTCTCAGCGATGGGATTCACTGTTGTCATATCCATTTTGCAGATCCGGGACTTAGAGCTGGGACTCAGGAGGAGTAACTTAGCAGGGGGCACCCAGCCAGGAAGCCACGGGCCTGGGGTCATGCGTGTGTGAGCCCAGCTCCAGGCCTGTAGCCACCAGGCCGCGGTGCTCCCTCCGGGTGCCTGTGATGGCTCGTCCGTGACTCATCCCGCTGTCTAGCAAGTGCCACAAGACACGTAGGCCAGGTGGCCCCTTGAGGTCCCAGAGGGGGAAGCTGGAGGAAGATGGGATTCTCCTCCTACCTCCCCTGGAAGCAGCAATCCCAGTGAGCTGGGCCCAGGGTCCCTGACTCCACTCCCTTTTACTAGACTTGGAGAAACTGAGGCCCAGCGGGGAAATAGTCCGAGACAGGCAGGATCGGGGAACCAGGTGGTTGCCTGGCCCCGGAGTCACTTCCTCCCTAGTGGGTCCTCCTTTGCCCGGGCCCCTCACCCCTCCCTCCGCTTCTGTGACAGGTTTCCTGTCACTTGATGCCGCAGCCCTCTCCTCTGCCCTCACTGCCCCCACTCATGCAGCCGCCTTCCGTGGACACTGTCCGTGCTCGTCAGCCTGGCGGCATCGCCCAGCCCTGCGCCTCCAGGTGCCCTCGCCGCCGCTGCTGCGTAAGGCTGGGTGAGGACTGAGCCAGGCTGCCCGAGAGCGCTTGGCGGAGCTGCTCTGCTGTCAGCCAAACGTGCAGCCACCAGCACAGTCCTGCACTTACCCTAACCTCGGGCTCTGTGGCCAGGGCCGCCACGGACAGCGCCAGCCTCCAGAGAGTCGAAAGGAAGGAAGACGTCTCTTGGCACCGAAGCCTGGAACTCGAGTGCGCAAGTCGAACCCCGGACCGCAGCAGCTGGCCCCCCCCCCCCCCCGCCCCGTCCCGCCAGCATTTGGGGTCGCTGGGCCCCTGCCGAGCACCTCCCGAGGTCTCTGTGTGGTCAGAGGCCTGCCCAGGCAGCCTGGGACCATTGTCTTCTTTCTTCCCCCTCAGAAACGCCTCCACGGCCGTGTATGCCTGTTGCAGCCCCGTCCAGGAGACCTATTTCCAGCAGCTGGCGGTGGCGGCGCGGAGCTCCGGCTTCCCGAGTCCGCAGGACGGCGCCTTCAGCCTCCCCGGCAAAGCCAAGCAGAAGCTGCTGAAGCACGGGGTGAACTTGCTCTGAACCGGGCCGCGGCAGGAAGTTCATCACCCCAGGAGAGGATGAGCAAGTCGAATAGCAGAGAAGTTGCGCCGCCTTGAAAGTCCCTCTGTTCTAGTTTCCTCGGCACATTCCCCTTGTAGGAACATGATGATACGTGCGTGCGTGTCACTCCTTTTGTAGGTTGGGGCTTGAGCGGGTAGTTCTTCGGGTCAGCGGACCTGGAGCACGCGATAAAGGGCTTTGTTACGCTGGCCAGGTTGCGGCCGGGCCGGGTGCTTTTGGCTCCCAACCAAAGAGGGGCAGGGCCAGGTAGTTGTCCCCTCACACGCGGTCTTGGGCACCTGTCACTTTTCGCTGCTATTGCATCTGGACCCTAACTAGTACCACGAGCATTTTCTCTGCAAGCCTGTTGTCCTGAGTCCAGGGGGCGGTGTGAGGCAGGGCTGCAGGGGGTAGGATTTGTCAGCCAGCAGACCGAACCCCCACACCTCAGGTAGGTGTTCTTTGGAGTGGCCCCCCCCGGGAGGTCTGGACGAGCAACGCAGGGAGGCAGGCAGGGATGCCAGAGGCACCTCGTTTGCATGCTTCTAGAACTATATTCAAAACCAGGAGTTTTGTTCTGTTCTTTGGAACACCCACAGTGGGGGCAAGTCTTGATAACATGGGAGGGAGCCTGGGGTTCTAAGGTAGCCGTGAGCCCCGGGAACTGGGTGATGGCACACCGGCCCGTGCGCCTTTGGTGCAACGTGGGCCATGCAACTGGCCCCTCTCCAGTGAAGGTCCTCAAACAGGAGCTCTCAAAACGGGGCAAAAGCCAAGCTGTGCTTTCCAGCGGTGGCTGCATGAAAGGGAGCAGCGTTCATCCGTGTTCCCGGGCCCATGCTCCAGGCAGAAAGTTTACAATAATGTGATACAGAACACAGGATGAGATCTTTACCAGGGTCTGAACTGTTTACTGGGAGTACCTGAGACTTCCGTTTGGAAACTGCAATGTTAATAGTTTCATGTCGGTGAACAAGTGCCTAATGTTTGTGACCGTGTCTTGTCTTGAAAGGAGTTGTCCAGGGCTAAAAATAAAACAGCCCAAAATGCTATTGAGTTGTGAGTCATGGTGACCTCTCTAGTGAGAAAGTTAAGGTAAAGATATTTTGTGTGTGTGTGTGTGTGTGTGTGTGTGTGCGCACGCACATGCGCCCATTTGGCGCGGACGCAGTTTGCCATGCCTGAATTGACGCAGGCAGGTGAGTGCGGGCGCACTTCAGAATGGTCTGTCCGTGAGGGTGACCGGCCGCAGCTGCTCTGCCGGGTCAGCGTGGCTGGCCCAGCACACCAGGCCCAGCCACCCTTCCTTCCACCTCTCCCTGGAATCCCTGCTGCCACTGGCCGGCCTACAAGGGTCCTGTTCCCAGATGGAGGAGGACCATTCCCCAAGCTAGGGCAGACATGTACTGTCCTACTGCTCCGCTAAATTTTCCAAGAAGAAATTCACTATGAGCCTCTGTGCCAGCCTGCCAAGGAACCTTCCCATGACTGACGGACACACCACACAGTCCTTTCCTGGCTGTGGGGTGTTTTCAAATAGCCGTGCTTTGCCTCTTGCTCGCTGGGACACCAGAATTCCGAGGGACCCAGCTCTGAGCTCAGGGGCATCACAACCTGTCACGTATTGAAACGGGGACAGAATTTGGAGCCCGGAACCCATGGTCATCTGCTTCCTCACAGCTCAGCTAACTGCCCGAGTTCAAGGACTCTTCCAGACCGGATCTGTTTCACGAGCAAGTTGCTTGGCTTTCCTAGATGTCATGCCATCTGCAGACCTGAATCTTGCTGGGTTTGCTTTCAGGAACCTCTCTCTCCTTCTACATTCTCAGGGCTGCCATTGAGCCTCGAAAAAAACACTCTTAATACAAAATGTCTCTGTTTCTGAGAATCCACGCTCGAGGCAGCAGCCAGATGCTCCCCCTTTATTCCTTCCCCCCCCCAAATTAAGTCTTAACAGTTACATGGACAGCCACACACAACGGTCATTTCAAAACACATCCACAGATGCTTTGCTACAAATGAGGGATCTGGTCCTCCTCCCCTGAGCGTGGGCTGTACTTAGTGATTCGTTTCTAATGAATAGAACATGGTAACGACGACAGTATGACTTCTGGGAGCAGGTTACACAACGCACAGCAGCTTCTGTCTCACGGGTCACCTCATTTGGGGCAAGCTGACGTTCAAGCAGCCCACGGAGGAGCCCTCGTGGTGAGGGTCTCCTGCCCACAGCCGTGTGAGGGAGCCGTCTTGCTTCAGCCCCGGTCAAGCCTTCAGATGAGTGCAGCCTCTGGAGAAATTGAACCAGAACCAGCAAGCTAAGCTGCTTCCGGATTCCCAGCCTTCCGAAAGCATGTGACCTGATAAACGCATGTGGTCCCGAGCCACCGTTTGGGGGTCATTTGTTACACGGTGGTAGATGATTAACACAACTTTTATGCCAATACCCCATCCACCAAACTAGGTTCCGTACTGCTTCGGCACTGCTTTTTAGCCTGATGCTAGACAAAGCTGCAGTTTCTCAGACGCCGGGTACCCCCTTTCCCACCTTGGAGAGCTGGGCTGGACAACTGAGGAACATACTGTGATCACTCCCTCAGCTTTCTCCCTACGGCTCCCAGAGCCTGACACTGATAGTCAGCCGGGTCCCCGCTTCCTCTCGTCTGGGCCCTGCCCTGGCCCCTCTTCTTATTCCTGCCACCCAGGTGCCCCCATGCAGGCTACCCTCTTCTGAATGTCCACCCAAATGGCCCCAAGCCCCCAGCCTTCCTGGCCCTACCTGTCCCGCTTTTCTGGGAGGCCTGTGATGGAGGGTGTGTGGACACCGGTGAGGCTTTCCCCTGCAGTTTGAGGAAACCCATCAGCTGCAGCTGGAGCATGGGTAGCACGATGGAGGAAGCTGGGAAGGTCCCTGGATGATCATTTCTTGGTCCTAGAATGCGTGCCTTGGAGTTGAGAAGGGGGAGTTGGCAGGAGGCAGCAAGAGGAGGGGGTGAGGGCCAGCCCCTCACCTTTTTTCTTGTCCAGGAGCTGGGGTCAGTCTGGAGGGTGGCCTCCCACTGCTGACGCCTTGAACGGCTCACCGTCACCCTGGCCCAGCCCTCGGCTCCCAGCTGCAGCTGCTTTGGCACACGGTCCTCTGGCTCCAACTTGCCCTCAGCCAGTGCCCCCCAGCACCCCCACCCCCAGCACCAGACCGAAGAAGACAGCTTTATAAAGTAATTTGTGCTGAGAACCTTCTTCCACTCTCCACCAAGATGGGACTGTCCAATACGTACCCCTTGTGTATGGAAAAGGACCACCCCCCACCCCCCCGCCACCGAGTCTCATCCACCCGGGATTAATCCAGAAAAGGTGAAGTCCATAAATGTTGTACACCCCTTCCCTTTGCTTCTGTGGTCCCGTTTACTTTCTGCAGTGGAGCCTGGCTCAGGGACCTCAGCAGCAGCCTTGATCGTGACTGTGGCCCCAAGGCTGCTAGAAGAGGAACGCTTAACCCCTCGTCTTCCTGTGTGATACTGCAGAGCTTCCGGTGGCTATGAGGACATCACTTAATGACAGCCCGGGGCCCCTACCCTCAAAATTAGCCTCTAGACTTGAGGCTCCCCAGAGCAGGGGCCCTTCTGTCGGAGCGGGCCCCGTGCCCCCAGGGAGGTGCTCCCTGGTGGCATCTGCAGGACAGGATCTGGTTTACAAGTGACACCTGAATGCCCCAGTCATCCTGGACGACAGCCTTATGCGAGCGGGGAACACAGGATGAGCAGGGAGTGAAAGGGTCTGTTTGGGGTCAGTCTGCATCTGCTGCCCGGCATTTACAGCTCGTGAACCTTAAGGATCAAGTTCCCCTGGAGTGATTAATAGGGACAACCAGATTCCTGCTGGGAAAGGACTTCCAGTCCCTAGGGGGGCGCCTGAGCCTAATCAAACTGGCTCCCTGCTGGAGGGAAGCATCTAGGATCACTGGCTCCCATCACCTTGACAGTGGTAGCACGGGAGGCCTGGCTGCAGTGACTGGCTCCAGGGTCTCTCGAGTGCCAACCCCATGGCGGTCCTTTCGGCGGCTGACAAGCCCTTCGCACCCCCTCTGACACCGCACACCCCGCAGCAAGGGGGTGTGACGTGCTCTGTGCCATGCGAATGGTGGCCCCCAAAGGTACCATGTGCTCATCCCTGGCACCTGTGTTACCTCGTACGATAACTGCTCTGCTGGTGTGATTAAGAATCTGGAGATGCAGAGAACGTTCTGGATTATCTCAGTGCTACCACAAGTGTCCTCATCTGACAGGCAGAGCAAGACGATCCACACCGAGAGGGGGAGACGTGGAGGCGGAGACTGGAGCGCCACGGTCACAAGTCAAGGAACGCCGGGGGCCGCTGGATGCCCGGAGAGGTGAGGGACGGCTTGTGCCCTAGAGCCTCCGGAAGGGGGGCCACTCTGGTGACGCGCTGATTCGGGCCCAGTGAAACGGACTGCGGACGTGGGCCCCCAGAAGTGCGTGAGAATGCAGTTCTGTTGTTTTCCTGGCAACTGGTCACGGCGGCCACAGGAGACTAACACGCCCCGCCGCCCTGCCAGCATTGCCCCCATGCAAACGTCCTGGGGCAAAGGGGAGTGGGTCCATCGGCTCCTGAATGGATAAGAAGCAGGACAACGGGAGGGGCAAGTCCCCTGGGGCCCCTGCAAGGACACTGGGGAGGACACGTGTACAGCCGACACTGGTCGACGAGGCCGAGGAGGGAAAAAAGAGACTCTGGATCTTTTGTTCAGTGCGTTTGTTGAATCTGGGAAGCTGAAGGGGAAGGTTCCGAGGGCTTCAAGGCTAACGGAAAAAAAAGGACATTTCCCCTCTGTTTACTTTGAGTGTCGGAACCTGAAATCAGCTGTCTTTCTCCTGGGAATGAAATGCACGGAGCTTCTGGATCCTGTTAGAGCCAAGAAGATGGCTGCCCGTGTGCCCTCGGGTCCGAGCAGAGAGCCGGTGGTGTTCTTGGCCCTGCTTTCCCGCTCAACTGGGCCCCGCACTCTCAGGGGAGGGCCGGGGGACCTGAACACCGGACCCCACAAGGCCCTGTGGCTGGAGAGAAGAGGAGACAAGCCAGCCCCCACCTCCCACGCACTGGTGACAAGGCACTGCGTATGTCCTTTGCTCCACCCAGCCCAAAGGGGTTCCTGCCGCAGTTGAGGGACGCGGGCTTTGGTGACAGGGCCCGGAGCTCAGATCACACCCCTTTAACTTTACTGCTGTGGAAACGGGGCCAAGTTACTTTATTTCCCGGAACCTCAGTGTCGTCTTCTTGGGAACGGAGAGGAAAGGGTAATTATGTAAAGGGGTGGCATATTGTGTGGACCCTCAAAGTGAGGGGTTCGGTGAGTGTCCCAAAAGGGCAAATGGCATCTCCAGGGGGGACCCTGTGCCAGCGATGAAGATGAGACCTGAAGGTATGGGTGGGGTTCCAAAGCCTGCCAGACCGTGCGTTTGGTACCTTTCTTCTAATTCCGGCTCCTCTTCCAGCTGGCCACATGACCTTGTTCCCGGCAACTGCTGCTCTGAGCCCACATCTTCTGTGTTAAATGCACACAACTGTCTCGGCTTTACCCCAGTGTTGGCCCCCAGTACTCGTGGGACGATAACACCTGCAAAGGAATCTCTTAAGAGTGCACGGTGCTCTCTGTGCCCGAGGAAGAAACGGACTCTCCCCTCGGATCCGGGGTGGCTAACGCATCAGAAGCAGGGAGACGGGGAAGGGGAGGCGATCAGAAGTCAGGACCAAGGCGGGTGCCTGGGAAGGAGGCAGAAAGTAAATCAGTCTCTGTGTGTGTCGCCTCCTGCCACGTAATGCTCCAATCTGCTTGAGTATTTTCACTGCCATCTGTCAGCAGCTCGAAAATATATGGCCTTATTCTGTCCTGTTCCCTGTGTTTACATCTGGTTTGCAAGATTTAGCTGGGAGGTAAATCATAGGGGGAGGTTGCGAGCAGCAGCGCCCGATGGTCCTCACAAACAGCATTTTGTGCTCAGCTTTCGCTTCTCATATTTCCATTTAAGAAATGCGAACAGAGCCCTTCCCATCCACCCAGAACTTGACAGTATTATCTTATTCGAACCTCACTTTATGCCTATGAAAGTAGGCATTAGGCCCGTTTGACAGGTGAACCTCACAGAGTGGATCAGGACTTCCTGGTGGCAAAGGACAGCAACCACAACTCACCCAGCGCCTGAGTGCCAGGGGTTTGGAAGGCTCTGACTGGCCGGGTGTGGATGGTGAGCCCAGTCCTACAGCTGGGGCTGGTCGGATCCTAGAAACCCAAGAGCTGAGAATGGGGGTGTTACATCTTACAAGAGGCTCAACAAGGTACTGCTGGAAGAGAGTCTTAAAAATAGCGGCCATCTGGGGCGCCTGGGTGGCTCAGTTGGTTAAGTGTCTGACTCTCGATTTCCACTCAGGTCATGATCTCGCGGTCCGGGAGTTCACGTCGGGCTCTGTGCTGACAGCTCAGAGCCTGGAACCTGCTTTGGATTCTGTGTCTCCCTCTCTCTCTGCCCCTTTCCTGCTCACACTCTCTCTCTCAAAAATAAACAAACATTAAAAAAAAAAAAAAAAAAAAACAGCGGCCATCTGGGGCACCTGGGTGGCTCAGTTGGTTAAGCATCTGACTCTCGATATCGGTTCAGGTCATGATCTCACAGTTTGTGAGTTCAAATCCTGCACTGGGCTCTGCGGTGACAGGAACCTGCTTGGGATTCCACCACAGTGTGGAACCTGCTTGGGATTCTCTCTCTGCCCCTGCCCTGCCTGCTCTCTCAAAATAAAAAAAAATTTTTTTAATAAAAAATAAAAGTAAATAGGGGCCATCTGTTAGAGACCCAGGTTAAGGAGCCTGCCCAGCGTTGCACAGGGGCACAGTCCAGACTTTCACCTAGAGCTGGCTGGTTTCAAAGGCCTTGCCATTCTTGAGTGGGACCCTCGGCCCCAGCTACATGTTAGAATCAGGGCAGGAAGTGAGTTAAAACAAACACTGAGACCTGGGCCCCACCCCTTGAACAAAGAAATGAGTGGCTTTGGGGTGGGGGCGGGGCATCAGTGTTTCTCAAAAGCCGGTGACTGTATCACACATCACGCATCATGCAAAGTCAAGGACCGGCAGGTTAGGATCCCCCTTCCCCTCCCACACCGTATGCTGTAGGGCATTCGATGTTACAAGTGTGGTCACTGTACCCAGAACCCAGACAAGCCGGGTGACTTTGGGGGATAATGAGCAGGTGGCTGGGAGACCCGGTACGTGACCTAGTGCAGTCTGGCCTTGAAGCCGATGCAGGCTTCTCATCCGAAGCTGGGCGGGCACACAGGCTCCCTCTTCTCACCTTGAGCATCCTTAGCTGTAGTGTGTAAATTACTTTAGCAATTGCCTAGTTGGCAATGCACACCTCAGGAGAGTGAGAGATGTCTCGGCCCCGGAGCGAGTGGTGCTCCTCCCTCCCGCCTGCTGAGGGCGCTGGGAAGACACCAGGCAGCTGGGCTGCTCTTGGGGCTCCAGGCCACCCGTGTCACCCACCCCTCTTTAAAAGGAAAAAAAAAAAATCGAGATGTAGCTACTGAGGGACCTGCTTCCTCCCCTGTGCATCCGCCTCTTCCTTACAAACCCTTCTTCCTCACCTGCCCCCCCCCCCCCCCACCGCCCACCACAACAGACTTGACCACTTCACTCTGGTTTTCGGCAAGATCCTTTATTTATCTCCTGTTCCCCAACCATGTGACATGAGTTCAGGTAGCCGGGTACCTGCGTGGGCTGTTGGCTTTGTAAACGTAGAGCAGTCAGTATGTATAGAAATCATGCACCTCGGTGATTCTGGAACAAGATACTTAATGAGTAAAAAGACTTCAGGTGTGTTTGAAATGTCTGCCCTGTCCCGCGTTCTGATCACTGAAAAATGTCTGTATAGAAAGTTTACCCAAATAGAGACAGGTTTTCTTCGCTCGCGTGCCAGTAACGGCTACTGCGTTTCGGTTCACGGTTCCTCCTGATGGCTGTTCCTCGCAGGCGCTGCCGGTTTCCATTCAGACACGGCCCCGGCCCTGTCCGCGGGACAAACTGCATGTTCCACACGGCCCCACGGCTTTATAAATCGGACACTGCTCATAACGCACTATTCAAAAAAGGCGTCTCAAGTATGGCCGCAGGCTACTCTTGCACACGTCGGCTAACAGGAGGACGTTTCTAGAATCAGTGCCTCAAACTGGCCATGTCCTTCACAGGCGACCAAGAGGCCAGCACCGTGACTGTGGGTCTTTCAGGCTCATGGGTCTTCCCGGTGGCCTCTCTCTCACACACACACACTGGCCTGGGTCGCTGTCGCTCGGCATGCACCCATGCGGTGACAGGGACACGGGGCCGATGCCTCCACCGTCTCGGAGTCCGGCACTGGAACATTTATGTACAGACGGATAAATGGAAACACTCATAGGCAACAGAACTCCAAAGCAGAACGGACACTTTTTGGTCGGATCTACGATTCCAGTTTTGCCAGAGGAAGGTGGTTCCTGGAATGTCACTTGCACGAGCAAGGTCTCACCGCACACCCCCCGGCTCCTACCAGCCAACCTGGCCGGTTGACGTCTTGACGTTCGTCACCGTGGACTCGAAACAGCTGCACAGGGAATTTTCCAGGCCCGGTTTGGCAGTAGGGCTTCGGTAGGCAGTGAGGTAAGTGGATCACACGACCCGCAGCTGATCCGTGGGAGCCCCGACTTGGCTGCCGGGGACACTAGCCCCAGCTCTGCAGGGAAGCCGTGTTTACGGAAAAGCCGCCAGTCCCACCAGCCGGACGCTCCCTGCCGTCAGGGGCCTGACAGGGTTCGGAGTGAGGTGAGCGACAGCGACAGGGTCCCGCTGGGGCCCGGCCGCCACGCGCCGCCCCTGACCGGGTCCACCCTGCCCGGGAAGCCGGCTGGGCGTGGGGGCTGCACGCTCTCCCGGCCGCCGGCCCGGCGTGGCCGAAGGATCCCCTGCGTGGCCGTGACAGCAACAGAGGCCAAGGTCTCTAGCGCTCTGGTGTGCAGTGTTTTGGTCGAGTTTTGTTTTTGTTTTTCTCTTAAGATGACCACAAGAAGTTTCACGTTATTACATTCAGACAGATAACCGTTTGCTTACGCTGTTTCAGAGCACTGGGAAAACCGAGCAGCGATACGGCAAGGACAGGGGCACTGAGCCTCCGGCCCCGGAGCAAAGTAATGCGCTATTAGGCAGGAAGGAGTCGCGGGAGCAAATGACTGGAAGGAAAAAAAAAAAAAAAAACAAATCTAAGGAAATACAAGCCAAAAATTTCCCATTTACAATAATCAAAGGAAAGAGGGACCCAACGTGATCTCAAAATCCCAAGTAAGGACTTTCCGTTGAGGCAGGCTTCTGAGCATGGAATCCCAGCACGGGTTGGGGGCTGGACCGGACCCCAGCCTGCCCAGGCTGACCCGCGGCCGCTCTCGCCGACTCCAGCGCGGGGACTGTTCTCATCGTCCTGGAGCAAAGATGAAATCCAGAGCCTGCCGTTCGGCCGCTGCCACGTTGGGGTGCCACAAATCCACCATGAAAACCACCCGCGGGCCATCCTCTGCCGAACCTGGGGAGGGGAGGGCGCGAGAGAGGAGAGGTCTGAACCGTCCCAGAGCCAGGAGCCGCGCAGTGCGGGACCGCACACAGTGAGCTTGCGGGCAGGGACCCATCCTGTCCCTTGGCATAGGCGGGAAGATCACCTCCTTTCTCAACAAGGACTCTAGCACGGCTCCATACGGCTCTGGGCAGAGCGTATAAAGGGAAGCGGGCACAGGGAGGTAGGGGTGAGTACGAGGTAGGTGGAGCACAGAGGACTTTTAGGGCAGCGAGGCTATTCTGTGGGATCCTGTCACGGTGGATACATGTCACCATACATCTGGCAGAACCCACAGGACGTGTGACAGCAAGAGCGAACCCTAACGGAGACTGGAGAGTCTGATTAATAACAATGTGTCGGGGCGCCTGGGTGGCTCAGTCGGCTGAGCCTCCGATGTTGGCTCAGGTCATGATCTCGAGGTCTGTGAGTTCAAACCCCGCATCAGGCTCTGTGCTGACAGCTCAGAGCCTGGAGCCTGCTTCGGATTCTGTGTCTCCCTCTCTCTCTGCCCCTCCCCCGCTCATGCTTTGTCTCTCTCTCTCTCTCTCTCTCTCTCTCTCTCTCTCTCTCTGTCAAAAATATCCATTAAAGGGGCGCCTGGGTGGCGCAGTCGGTTAAGCGTCCGACTTCAGCCAGGTCACGATCTCGCGGTCCGTGAGTTCGAGCCCCGCGTCGGGCTCTGGGCGGATGGCTCAGAGCCTGGAGCCTGTTTCCGATTCTGTGTCTCCCTCTCTGTCTGCCCCTCCCCCGTTCGTGCTCTGTCTCTCTCTGTCCCCAAAATAAATAAAAACGTTGAAAAATATCCACTAAAAAAGATAATAATAACGTGTCAATATCGGCTCATCAGTTAGGACACACGTGCCACACGAATGCAAGAGGGTAACAAGAGGGGACACTGTGCGTGGGGATGGTGTGCGCTTTCTGCTCAGTTCTTCTGGAAACCTAAAACCGTGCTAAAAACACGCGCCTCTAACTAAAACCACCCCCACCCCCACCGCGGGCACTCACCCTCGTGGAATGCAGTGTGCAGGAAAGAATCATCAAAGAGGAGGCAGCGTCCTTCCGCCCAACACTGGGGCTCTCCCCCCACCACCAGCTCGCAGCCACTGGGAGTTTTGAGACCTTTGGGGCAAAAGGAGAGAAGAGACAATGAAGGCGGGTGGGATCGGGGATGGCCTGTTCTGGGGTGAGCTCTCCATTCCAAAGCACCAGGCCTTCTGCCTCACCCCTCGGGGCCCTCTTTGGGGGCGTGGGGGGAGGGGGTACTTCGACCGGGCAAATACTGGCTGCGTACCCTGAGCGTCACTCCCTGGAGGCACGCATTCCTCCACTGGCTTAACGGGTCTGGGGTCAGGGGCTTCTCGGTCAAGGCTCTGCACCGCACTTGTGAGACCCCCGAAGCCCATCTGTGGGACCCCCCGTTAATCGAGGGAGGCCAGGCTCATAGCCCGCCGTGTTCCGGAACTCTGTTTACTACAGCCCTGTCTCTAGGGCTGTTTTGGCAGAGTTGAAACAGTGTCCTCCTCTTTGGGTTCCGAGCTTTAGACGCATTTTGGGGCCTGAGGATAGCACGTTCTTAGTCTCAGTTCCTCCGGCCTCCCTCCGAGAAACTGGAGGTCGCCCCTAAGGAAACGCCTGAGCTCCAAGAAGAAAGAGGCCCACACCTTCGCAAGGGGCCATATGCGCCCAACTGCACGCGGCCAGTGCCCAGCTCGGTGCGTAACCCCAGAAAGGGGGCCTGGCTGAAATGCCACCGTGCGCGCACTTTCACATCCGAGGGTCTCAGGAAACACTTGGCCCCTGTCGGTGCACGGACGTCTGTCAATGAAGGCACCACTGCAGCCATCTACGATTCACAAGAGGCGGCACCGGCCCTACGGCTCTCAAGAAGGATGATTTGGGAGGAAACCGGCAGAGGGGGTGGGATCGTGGTGCTCCGGTCTGTCTTCGGTGACTACTGGGACAGCCGTGGCCCAGAACTAATTGGCACCCCCTCCAATTCAGTCTTCAGGACAAGCATGAAACAGAGTTCTCTCTAACGGAGCATTTTAACTCACCCCTTGAACCAGGAATGGATGGCTGGAAACACAGGTAGAGTAGGAAGTCACACAAAGAGGCTGCACGGGGGAGTGACAAGGACATGGGACCTGAGGCCAGATGACTGGCTCTGACCCCTATGTGCTGTAGGACTTCGGGCAAGTCACTGAACCTCTCTGAGCCAGGGCCTCGTCATCTGTGAAGGGGAACGTCAACACACTTGCCTGCAGGGCCGCGTGACCAAGAACGTAACGCCTAGCTGGGCGCAGGTCCGGGCTAAGTCAGCACTTACAGACATCACCTCACCCATTTTCCAGATGGAGCCACCGAGGTTCAGAGAAGGTCAGTGACCTGCCAGAAGTTGCAGGCGCAGTCCTTGCGGGACCTGGGATTTCAATCCAGATCCTCCTGGCTCCGAAGAACGGGCTCTTGTAACACTGGACTCTGTGGCATAAATACTAGTCACCCATCAGGAGTTGTGGTATGAAAGGGACCCTTCTTGTAGTTATGTTTTGACTACGGATGGGACACTTCATTGAGTGACGGACTCCGGAACCAGGCTCTCCCATCTCCTGCTACTGTTAATGGCTAGGGAGGGGGCGTTAGGGTTGTGATGGGCCCAGATGGAGAGGGCCCTCCAAGCCACGTCTCTCCACGGGTGCCCCTCACTGAGGGGACTGGCCGCTCTCTGCAGAGACAGTCCACCCCAGGCCTTCGGAAAGCAGCCCTCCTTCCTCTGGGCCACCGAATGATCCATCAGCACTCACCACGGTACAAGAGAAAAATGGCCTGGCTTGCTGGCTTGCCAGCCCCCTGCTCACTTTCTTCGGCTTCTCCCCTTCACTCTGGCCCCGCCTTCCAGCGGCCCACCATTCCTGCCTCCTGCCCACAAACCAGCTCGGGTGGCAGAAACGATCGATACTCCCAAGGCAGAGTGTTCAGGTGGCTCTCGGGGACAGAGACAGGCCCCGCGTCCTCCGGCGCAGGGCTTGCTGCTTTGTCCCCAGCCACTCAGCGAGGCAGGTCAAGGGCAGAGAGAGGGCTCTGTCCACCACCGGCCCCCACTTGAGGATGCTGAACAGGTGGGCAAGGCGAACACCAGCTGCTTCCACCCAGCCGGCCGGCCAAGAGATCCAACAGCGTGCACACGGGAGGCGACGAGAGTCTAACTGCTTACTTGCTAGTGTGAATGGGCTGAACACCGTCGTGCATTTTCACCTGCCCTTTCCTGAGGGTTGGCCATGTGCAAGGACAGCAGCCTCCCCGGTGAATCTGCCTAGTTGGCATCAGACGGTGTTTACTGGAGGTCTGCGGCGGTGCGGTCGGGACGCCCCAGCCCTGTGCTATGTGCTGTGTGACACGCTCGGTGACAGCTTGTCCCAGGGCTCTAGGTGGGGTCCAGACGGAGCGACGCCACCTCTGGAGGCGGCTCCACGCCGTCCTTGGCAAATGAAGAGACTGGGCGAAGGCGGGGCAGTGGCTGGGGTTTCAGCCGTCGTCGGCGGGGACAGCTCCCCTCACCCGACCCAGACGGAAGGCAGGAAAGGGGACAAAGGTTGGCGAGTCAGGAGCTCGGCTCAGGGACTCCAGGTGCTTCCTGCACTTTAGCCAGGGAAGCTGGCAGAGGCGTGACTGCCAGGGACGTACCCGTCACTCTGCTTCCGACCCTGTTCTCCGGACTCCCTCTCTGGCCACCGACAAGGTCATGTGAGCCTAACACACCTCTGTTTCCTTCCGGGGTGGATGTGAACGTGGGCATGACAGTGGAAAGAAGGAAATGCTGAGCAAACCCGACGCGGAGCCTGCCCCGGCCGTGGGGGAGCAGCCACAATCCAGCGGGACCTCTTCCAAGGCTGCTGGCTGTCCAAGGGGACATGACACGGCCCAGTTTTGCTGGTGGCGAGAACGAGCTGAGCTGAGGAGGGAACGACAGGTCCTAACGAGGGCCCGCGTGGGCACGGCTTATACACACGCATCTACTGCGCGGACGCACGAGAGGCATTGTGGCCCCCGGCCCTTGCTACTCAACGCACCTGCCTGGATTCTGTATCAATCCACAAACGCTCCTCCCTACGTGTCACTCGGAAGCTCCTTAAAAACCTACAAAGGCAACCTTCAAACAAGAAGCCAGCACCGCTCCCCACGGCCCACAGCCTCAATTCCGAAGCCCCGCACGGGGGCCCTCCGCGGTTTGCTCCCACCCAAGCGGTCTAACCTCAGCCCGACCGTGGACTCCACAGCAAGCCATGTGCGGGGGGAGTGGGGGAAGGGGGGTGGCTCCTCCACTCCACCCTGGTGGCCCCGTGAGCTCTGACCCGAGTGTGCCCCGGTGTCTTGCACAGTGACTTTACTGAGATGGCTTAGGTGACCGCCTCACCTCCTGGATCAGGGTGCCCTTTACCTGACTGCCCTCCACCTGCCAATACCTCACACGTGCCACTTCTAACCCCCCAGAGAGCCCCCAGGCAGGTATTTTTACCTCCGTTTTCTCCTTGAAAACGGAGGCTCGGAGTTTCGGGGTCCTGGCCAAGATCACTGGGCAGGTGGGGCCCACAGAGCGGAGTCCAAGTGTGCGTGCTCCCGAAACCTGATCATTTCCCACGGTTTCCTGAGGCCCCACGTCTTCGGCAGCCTTTCTTACACTGCCCAACACGTGTTTCATCATAAAAGGTAGAGCTGCCTCTTCTGCAGCCGCAGAAGAGCCTATTTAACCCGGTCAACGATCCTGGGGAGGTAAGTGCCGCCTCCCCATTTTACGGAGGAGGAGACTGAGGCACGGAGGGACTCAGTTACTTGCCCAGAGTCCCACAGCTGCCCACGGAGCCAGGACACCTCCTCTGGCGCGCCTCGGCCCTGCCCTTTGCTCTTGAAATATTCAAGGAGTCAACTGTTCGAATCTAGCTGTTTTTCGAAGCGGCAAAGCCCTCTGTCCAAGTCACCTCTTCCTCGGGATCCCCACACGGGGGCAGGGGAAGCAGAGGGCTCTGGGGGAAGCAGGGCTGGAGGGCCAGGCGTCTGACTCAGGTGCCCCCGGGCAGCCCCGGGCTTCCTCTGCGGGACACTCATGAACCCCCTGCTCCAGCCTAGGTCGCCCCCCCCCCCAACCCCCCACGTGTGCTCTCTCTTCCTCCATTCTGGAGCCAAGGCAGCCCGTGCCGCAGACTTCCCGAAGCTGGACCCTGCGCAGGCTCTGGGTGCGCTCCCCCAGTCTGGGATGCTAACTGGTGGTGCCTTTGCCCCGGTAACCGTCCCATTAGAGACTCGCCAGGAACGGGGCATCCTGGGGAAGTGACAACAAGGAGTTGTTGTGAAACCCCCCTAAAGGGTGAGTCCTCGCTCCACATGACTAAAGGCTCCTCTTAGCAGACCCTCAAGGCAACTCTGCAGGGGACGATCTTTTCCCCTCCTCTTTTCTAAATGAGGAAACTGAGGCCCAGAGAGGTGAAGTGACTTGTCCAAAGTAACACAGCTAGCTGCCGGTGGGGCCGGGATGCAAACACACGGCCACGCAGACTCTGACCTTGTTCTCGAAACCACCGCCACGCAAGTTACCGATTTCCCCAGAAGCGGAACAAAATCAGTGTTAACACCAAGCGTGACTTCGCCCTCCATTCGGGAGGCGCTAAGGCATCGTTCACGGCCTCCCGGATGTCATCATGAACCTCAGCGACTGTTACGACAGCCTTTGGCTCTAGAGATACGCTGTCCAATACGGTAGCCGCTAGCCATGCGGGCCGATTTAAATTCAGATTAAGTGACAAATTCTGCTCCTCGCCTGCCCCGGCCACATTTCCAGCCCTCAACGGTCACCCGCTGCTAGTGGCTTCTGTACTTGGACAGCGCAGATGGAGACCATTGCCATCACCACTTCCGTCCCCCGGACAGAGCTTTCTCTGTATTACCTGTCGGGTAATACCGATCTCAAGTCCCCTTCTCGGCTCAATCTGTGCTGTGAGACACGTTTACATGCAACTCATCAATCTTTGATGGGACAGTGAAGAATGCGAAAAGGCACAATTCTGGCTACCGAGCTTCTCACGCCGCCTGGGCCGCCGTGAGTCAGGAGACCCCCGTCCCTGCGACATACCTAAATGGCATCGGATGCGTATGTTGGTGGGTCCGTAATGCTCCGTTATCACAGTCCCGGGGCTCAGCACGGAGATGCACGCGTTCCCAAAAACATTGTTCCCAATACAGGTCCGAAGGCTTCCGAGCAAGCGGTACGTCCGTGGGCACTTCCTGCAGTTCCTGGGAACGCAAACCCCCTGGTTGACCAAGTAAAAGGTGACCCACTCCCCGCTGGGGGTGCTGTTCATTTTCCATCCTTGCGGGAGGCTGCAGTTTGAGAAAGCCTTGTAGAGCGTCTCAAACTCGCACAGGATTGTCTGGAAGTTCCGTTCCAGCAGCTCCACGTCGTGCTTCTGCGCGTCCCGGGCGAAGTATGGCGTGGTGGGGAGGTCGGGCAGGAAGAAGACCTCGGGCTTCTGGATGGAGGGTCGGCTGTTGAGGTAGCGGCCCTGCTCACGGATGCCCTTGTGGATGCGGCCCATGCCGGACCACGAGTACCGCTTGGCGTACTCCTGCAGATTGTGGTAGAGCTTCTGGTTGAGGCCCTCATTGTGGGCACAGCGCACGCACTCGGGCGACTGGCAGTACACGTACCCGTTCTGCAGCCCGTTGGCGTCCGCACCCTGCATCAGGGAGTTGACGGACACGTAGGGCCGGGGCTGCTCCCGGCCCACGTGGTAGCAGTACCACACGAACAGGACCAGCAGGCAGGCCACGGTGACCACAGCGGTGGTGTCGCAGTCCCGCACTGACTGGATGCCCGTGGCGATGCAGTCTCGCAGGCCGTCCAGCGACCAGCTCCAGGCCACCAGCCACTCGAGAGACATCTTGGGGGTGCGGGTCGTCGGTGGGGGTGCGAAGCAAGGTCAGGCAGTCAGTCCTCGGGGGTCCCGGGGGCACCCACACCATGCAGCTTAGCATGGGGGGGATGGGGCAGCTGGGGCGGGGGGGGGCATGGCGGCCGCTGTTCCTCGGAGCCCACCAAGGGCGGCATCGACAGACGTCTGGGCTCGCCACTCCACTCCCGGCAAAAGTCACTGCACGGAGGCTGGAGGGAGCCGCTTCACGTCACCCTGGCAGGTGGGGTCAGTCACCGTGAAAGGATTTTTTTTAGGACGTCCAAACCTGAGACGGGAAAAGGAAAGTAAACCAGCGTCAATTTTTTGTACCTGGGCAAATCCTCTGAAGTGCACAGTCCCGGAGCATCCTGTAAGGTCCCCGCTGGCAGGGGGCACACTTCTCAATCTTGTGTGTCCCCTCCCCCTTTACCACAGCCCCCAGGTCCCAAAGGGCCGGTGGCGCTTAATCTGCATCTAGTACTGTCTGAGAAGTACAGACGCCCGGCCTGTTCTGTGTCATCCTTAGGGGGTGTGATTAGCTCCATTGTACAGATGGGGAAGCTGAGGCCCAGAGAAGTTCACGCAGCCAGGACAGGGACCTCAACTGCTGGCTTCAGCATCAGGTCCATCCATTTTGTTCTGCTCTTTCACAGGAGCTACGTCATAAATGCTTGTTTTCCTTTGGTCTCTGTACCTGTACAGAGCGGCCTGGGTTCCAAAGCATCTTTAAAATGGCAAAAGAGGGGGCCCCCGGCTGGCTCAGTTGGTGGAGCACGCGACTCTTGATGTTGTGGTCAGGGAGTTCAAGCCCCACGTTAGGCGGAGAGATCACTTAAATAAATAAAGAATCCTTAAAAATGGCAAAGGAGCCGTAACTCCAGGCATTCTTTCTAAATCTCTCTTGCCCTTCGGACACGGGCTGGGCTTACACCGAGCTGGAAGAGGACGCCATCCCCATGGCAGACACAGGGCGTTTCTGTCTACCTGCTTGGGAGGCTCCTCGCTGGTCTCACCCACAGGTTATGAGAGAAGGGATGGGGGAGAAGGAAACAGAAGCCCTCTCGGGTCTCTTTGCCACATATGCCACCAATGGTTAAGGGCCGGTGCCTAGCACCCTGATTATCCTAATAGCCCAAGAGTATGATCAGAGCCCAGCAGTCAGGTTGCCCGTGTCTATCAAACCCCAGCCGTGTCTTCCAGCTGAAACCCTCCGTCCAGGCTGCTTTTTTTCTAAGCCAAGAACAGCCAGGTCTGTGAGCTCCTCCAGGCCTAATACATTCCCTCGGTGCCAGGGGCCGAATAAATTCAGAAAAATCGCTTTGTGCTCTACCTTCTCTCTTCTCTCTCTGGGGAATAGAAGGCAACTAAAACAACTCCTTAAAAACTCTAAAAGCCCTCCCCTTTCTCTGGGGACGGCATTTGGCTGGAAAATTTTTGCAAGGTTGGCAGAGAGGCCAAGAACTGGGGGTGGGCTGGACCCTGGGCGGGTCATTTGCCCTCCTGCTCAGGTTCCTCATCACTCAGACCAGGTCATGCTCATCCTCCTGGAGGGAATGATGAACGATGATGACAGCTGTAAGCACTTAGGATGTCACGGCAGGCGTTTACTATGTGCTGACGACTGCTTACACATGTGGCACCCCCATGCTGATCAGCCAGCAAGGCAAAGGTGGGGCACTGGGGAAAGGTATCTCAGGACTAGCAACCCTGAAGGCCAATTCTGGACATTCTCACCGCCACACATCTGATTTTTTTTTTTTTTTTTCCGGTCCCAGACTTGCAAAACTAAAAATGAAAAAGAACAAACCTCAGGTGCTCATATAACTGCCTACCTGCACTTTCCCTGCCTAGGTCGAATTAAGGATCCCTTGACTATAAGGTTTCCGAAGTCAAAAAACACACATGCTAAATATTCGGGGCCATTTGTATGTTTCTAGGAAAAATACAAGAGTGGGGAGGCTAGCAGCTCAATTTGCTTTGGCACCCGTTCTCAATTTCTTCCCAGGTCTGGGCCCCACGGGATGAAAACAGACCCCTCCGTGCCCCTGCTTCTGTCCCAGCCATAACTGGCATGTTTCCTCTCAAGGAAAAGGGAAAGAAAATCTGGATGGTTTTCCTCTGTTTTGTTTGCAAGCCTGTCTCCCAAACAGAACCCCGGGGTTCCTGCAATTCAGCAGGAAACTGTCATCTGCGTGATAAACCAGCACTTTTACTAAAAGGATTTCCCCCTTCACTGAGCTAAACCTCTAATTGGAACTTTTAAACTGAGTCTCTCAGGAGAAGAGGCTTTTCTTAAATGAGAAGTGAGATGGTGATAATTTAACAAACACCTGTTACGTGTCAGTTCCCATCAGCCCTGCTAATCACTTAACCCAAGCACAGCGAAGACTTGGAAGACAGGGCGGGTGATGAGGGGATCTCTCCACTGGACATACGGGCCGCTTACCCTCTCCAGCGTCATTCTACACAACATCAGCCATGAGCGCTCCCTGGGCTGAGCTATAAACAAAAGGCAGCAAAAGATCCAGATACCCCAAACCCAGCTTCGGACTCTGTCCTCATAGACAGCACTGAGAGCCGAAGTTAGGACTTGTCTTACCTGCTGCCAGTTACTTTTAGCCAAATTATGCTGGCAGGCCCCTGAGCCCAAAGATGGATTAAAAAGCTTACCGCTGAAATGTGACACTAAAAAAAAAAAAAAAAAAAAAAAAAAAAC